AGTTTCACAGATCGCAGCCCCCCAGGGATGGCGAGGTCTAATCTGAGTCCCCGTAGGGCGTCACTCCGCTGGGCCCCCCAGCAGCCCTCGAAAGTGGCGACAGTTTCACAGATCGCAGCCCCCCAGGGATGGCGAGGTCTAATCTGAATCCCCGTAGGGCGTCACTCCGCTGGGCCCCCCAGCAGCCCTCGAAAGTGGCGACAGTTTCACAGATCGCAGCCCCCCAGGATGGCGAGGTCTAATCTGAGTCCCCGTAGGGCGTCACTCCGCTGGCCCCCAGCAGCCCTCGAAAGTGGCGACAGTTTCACAGATCGCAGCCCCCCAGGGATGGCGAGGTCTAATCTGAGTCCCCGTAGGGCGTCACTCCGCTGGCCCCCCCAGCAGCCCTCGAAAGTGGTGACAGTTTCACAGATCGCAGCCCCACCAGGGATGGCGAGGTCTAATCTGAGTCCCCGCAGGGCGTCACTCCGCTGAGCAGCCAAAGTGGCGACAGTGATCTGGCTAATTCAAAACGAGTACCCAACGCAGGAGGGTTGGGAAAAGCTGTGATTGGGGTTTCTTTCCAGTATCATTTAATATCACACCAGTACACCATTTGGAAGTGGTGCGCGACCTACACCACTAAACCGTTACACCATGTTGAAAATGACGTAATATCTAAATGTCTACACCCTTACAGTATCACATCATGACGCCAATATTGAAGAGGGGATGCGGTTTATACCACTACACCATTACAAAATTTCGGGGGTAGGGTCAAGCGTCAAGTTTTACACCATTGCACCATTTTGGGGAACGGTGTGAGGATTACACCATTCACCAGTCTGGGGAACGGCGCACGTTTTTTTCTAGGGCGTTGCATTGCTGAGAAGGGGGGGGTCGGGCTGGTTGTCTGGATCAGTGCCTGGGGGGGGCGGGGGCGGCGGGGGGACGAAGACCCGCTCCTGAGGATCCTTAGGGTGGGGGTCAGAAATACCCTCAGCAGCCCGTCCAGCCAGCTGCCGGCTGGACCAGTCTGCTGAGGGAGGGGGTCAGGCAACCCCCCCCCGAGGATCTTTGGGGGGGGTCAGAAACACCCTCAGCAACCCGTCTAGCCAGCAGCCAGCTGGACCAGTCCGCTGAGGGAGGGGGTTCGGCTGCTGATGGTGGAGGGGTGAACCCGCCCCCTAAGAATCCTTCGGGGGGCGTCCAGAAATACCCTCAGCAGCCCGTCCAGCCAACCGCCAGCTTGACCAGCCTGCTGAGGGGGGAGTCCCCCCGAAAGATCTCGGTGTAATGGTGCAGTGGTGTATTGGCATTGGTGTATTGTTAATCAATTAATTCATTCCCAACTAGTATAGGTAATTGTTGAAACAAGTATTTGTTTTCAACAATCAGGCATCACATTACATATCATCGAACAGGCATGCATCACGTTTGGATAACATGATAGTAGAAGCAGTAATAAACGCTGTGTCCGAATACCCGATCTGGGCATCAACAATTATGTAATAAATTAATCATCCACTGGAATCATGTATCAATTCTTCTCATAAAGTTGATAACTGCATCATTAGAGAAATGCCCAAGGCCCCCACGCTCTTGAAGACAATATCGTTCTAATATCACTACCCCGCATGGAAACTAACCCACTAAGATCTAGCTCAATGCTGAAGTGACCTCGAAGGGTCTTTAGTTTTGATACCCCTCTGTTTCTCTCGGCAGGGCGGCAGGGAACAAACTCGACCCTCCTAACTCGACCCTCCTCCTTCTGCTCCTCCAACGCCACCCCTCCTCCTCCTCCGCATCCTCCTCCTTCTTCTCCTCCTCCTCCTCGTCCTCCTTTTCCTCCTGATTATCATCCTCCTCCTCGTTCTCCTTCTGCTCCTCGTGGTCGTTATCGTCGTCGTCGTCGTCGCGACGGAAACGATTTACCCTCTATTGTTGGGCGGGCTGGATACTGCGGGCTGGATACTGTTGAGAGTCTCTTCCCCCAGGGAATCATCCAATATGGGCGACCCTACACGCGAGAGGATTTGCTTCAGTCGCAGTCGTAATCGTCGTCGTCGTCGGCGTGGCGCTGGTTATTCTACCTCTATTGCTGGGCGGGCTGGATAATGTTGGGGGGTTCTTTCTCCTGGGGACTAATGCTCCTTGGGATACCCTTGCGACAGAGGAATGTTGAGCACGTTTGTAAGAGGATTGTAATTTAGATCGGCACATGTTTCGCCGAAAGCGTTGCTCACAATCTCCTCTTTCATCTCGTCGTCGTTGTTGTAGTCGTAATCGCAGTCGGGATTGTAGTCGCAATCGTAGTCGTGGATGCAGTCGTATTTGTAGTCATAAGAATTGTCGTGTTGTGGTCGTGGTCGCAATCCTAATCGTAGCCGTCGCCGTCATTGTTGCGCGGCGGGTACCGTGGATAATTACTTATTGTCCGCTATTGGTGGGGCCCCGGTCACCTGTCAATAAGGACGTCGAGCTGGTAATTCGTTCCCAGTGTTGGGGGGGGTATGAAGATCCTTGCCGGCTATATTCATCATTAAACATCAGTGTTGCCCTCCCCCGCTCCCCCCATAGTGTAACCAACCGTAGTATTAATTATAGCAACTACTGGCGAACAGGGGCAAGAGTTCTGCAATGTGATGGAAATAGAATGCCAGGATAGTAAAATTTGGCATCATTGTCTTGCTTATGAAGATTGAATCCTCTGTCCTAGTAAGCGAATGACCTTATTTGAAAGCTGCTGATTCTGAAGATCGGCGGTTCCCAAGCTACATAAGGCTTGAACCGTCTATTATTCAGTGTTGCTTGGCTTACAGACAAAATGAAGTGCCAAGAGTGTAAATGCGTCTTGTATGTCCACGCGGACACACCATACATAGGATGGTAGCTACCACGAGTTAACTGTATTAGGCTGATTACACTTCGTTCCCTGTGGCCGCTCCAAGCCTTACGTTATTTAATCGCTTCGCTCATTCCGCCGGCCCTGGAGCCCTCTTTAGGACCTTTTGGGGGCCTCTTGGGGACCTCTTGGGAGTCTCGTGGGCCTCCCTAGCGGCGTCTTGGGGGCCCCCAGGGCTTCTTGGGGGGCTTTTGGGGGCCTCTTGGGGTGGGAGGGGGGGTAGTCGATTGCGGCTCCCCCCTCGGAGGCCACGATCCTCGTGAGGGGTGTCGAAAAATGGCCCTCCCCTGGAGTGCTCTGGTGGCTCCTCCCGGGACCTTGCCGGGGCACTTTTCGTTTGGGGGCCCCCAGGGGCCGCTCCGCGCGCGCGAACTTTGAAATACTGTTAACCAGTCACCGGAGATCTTAGCACGCCTCTGGCCCGTTGGGCCGGCGAATTTTCTTATGATAATGTTTCATTCCGTTCGTTACCTCACTGTCGTTCGTCAGAAGTCACCCAGCAAACACTTATGGGATGCGCTGGAACGAGGAATATGTCCAGAGCTTCATAGAATAGCCAGAGGGAAAGAAGTGTAGTCAGTTCACATAACCCGTGGTAGCTCCTATCCAGTCAATGATGAGTCAGCGTGGCAATAAAGAAGCACTAGCACTACTCCAATGTCTTTGGTTTAGTATTGATACTCCATTTGTTTTATAAGCTGGTCCATACTAAAGAATAGACCGGTCACGACTTATTTAGCGTGAGAGCCGTCGATCTTCAGAAGCAGTAGCCTTCACGTAACAAGTTCCGCTTACCAAGACAGTCAAATCGCTTTAATAAGTAGACGAACCCTACCAACGAATATGATCGTGGTATTCTTTTCCTGCAGCATTACAGGATTATTGCCTCTACTCACCCGTAGTTGCTGGTACGAGTGCTAGTACTAGCAGTGTTGATCATAGGGGCATGGGGGAACGACTGTAGACTACATAATGAATAACAGGCGTATGAAATTCCTGCTAGATATACACCTAGGTTGTTTTAGTAAAAGTTATGACTGCTGTAAAGTATAGTCACTGAAGAAATACAAGTCATACTGCTGATGTGGTAGTATGACTGATAAGTGCTGCTCTCTGCATTAATGTACGACGGGTTACAGGAAACACCACTGTCTAGACGGAACATTATCTCGCGGTTGCAGAGCAGTTTTTTCCGTTATATGAGTTTGCTTATCATCTAGATTTATGAAACGCCATGGTGATCTTAAAGGTTGCGAGTACGTTACCAGGAAAAGACAAATTTGATAGGCAGACGTGTAGAGATGAAGATGGTCAGTTCAGTTGAAAATGGGTTCCCCTTTATCAGCCGTCCACTCCTGCGCCGTTACCTAAATGCCCGTGTCCCTGGTTCATCTTAGTCCACCACCATCATCACCATTGTCATCACCATCATAATCATCCGCAGCATCATCATCATCATCACCATCATCATCATGATTCTCATCATCATCATCATCATCATCATCATCATCCTGCTGCGCCTTCTCCTGCTCACTACTTCGTTGTTGATTGCCAGACGCCACAGCAAGAGAGGCCGCATTTCAGGGCCATGGATTAGTGCACACTCCTTTGCCATTCCATGGCCATTTGAGGTCTCATTGTTTGCGCTGAGACCTTGCCGGGTGATGGAGGCCGGGCTGGTGGGGCTGCTCCACGACGTGGGGCAGGCGCTGACCACCGCCTTCGTCGTCCGGGCCTCGGTGGCCGATTGCCCGGACTGCCGGTGCAGTCCGGCCTTGCACTGCCCGCCGCTGCAGTGCACGTGCCCCAGCGGCGAGGGCACCCTGGCAGCCGCGGCCATCCCGGGGTGCCGCGGGGCTCAGCTGGCCTGGGTGGCGAGCCTCTCGCTCCTGCTGGGCGGTCTGCTCGGGGCCGCGACCGTCGCGTGGGCCGGGCGGCCTCGCGCACGGGCGCCAGCGGGGCCCATCGCGGCGTCAGTGGGGGTGGACCGCTCGCCGGGAGGTGGCGACCTCGCGCAACTCGCGCTGGAGCAGGCGAAGGTCTTCCGCAGGTCGCCGATTGCCGCCGCCTATTGAGGATGGCTGCTGAGCCGCTGGCTGGAGGATCCCGTCGGCCCATGTCTTGTGACAGAGGCCCCGCTGTGTACCAGGAGCGACTGGACGCATACCGTTCGGGGTACGAGATGACCTCGGACTGCGACGACTACAGCGAGACCACGAATCCCGACGCGGAGGTGATGGAGATCCATTTCGTGCACGGGCAGGACGGCAGGGCGGGGGTCATCCAGGCGAACCGCGTCTACGGGTTTTGCCGCCTGCTCGCGACGGCCGTGGTCGGGAGCGCCCTCTGGGGCGGGGCCGCGTCGGGGTATGGACCGTTGCCCGACGGGCCTTTCCTCCCCACGCTGTCTGTGATGAGCTGTGCGGGGGGGCCGGCGGGCGGCAAATCGCTGGCTTGCCCGTCCCTCGTGGACCCCTCGCTGGTCGACGTGGCCGGAGGGGGCCCCGCGCCAGCGGCTCCAGGGGAGCTGGCACTCCCTGGGGCGGCCCCGCCCGCCCCACCGGTGGCCGCGGCCGCGCCGGCACCGGCAGCCGCGAGGCCCGCCGCCGTGGCGCTTGCCCCCGGGGCGGCCGCAGCGCCAGTGGGTCGGGCGCTGGCGGCACCAGTCACCGTGGCGGGCGCGCTGCAGCCGAGCGGGGAGCCCGCTCCAGGCTGGCCCTGGGTGGCCGCTGAGAACGTCGACGGCTTCGTGTCCTTCGGCGCGGAGGTGGCCGTCGAGGTGCCGGGCGGAGCGTTTCTCGTGGGACGCGCGGGGCACCGCGGGCTTCCCACGCTCGCCGGTGGCGGCGTAACCCGTGCGGTGCTGCTGCCGGACAGCGAGATCGTGTGGTTCATGCAGGAGTGCCGCGGGAGGGACGCGTGCAGGCCCGAGGCCCCGCCTTGCGCTGGGCAGCCTGAGGACATCTCGCGGGAGTGTCGCGAGGTGGTGCAGCTGTGTCGCGGGGAGGCCGTCACGCGGTTTGCCGTGGCCCTGCTTTGGATGGCGCAGTGCTGCGCCAAGTTCCATGTGAAGAAGTGGGGCCTGGGCCTCCATCATGAGATGTGGAAGTCAAAGCGCAGGCTGAACCCGACCGACTTCAGGGTATACATGCACGAGACCCTGTCCAAGATGATCGAGACCATGGGCTCTGCCGATCACCTGGGCGTCTACAACTGGACGAGGGCGGAGCTCGGCTACAGGAGGCTCCGCCTTATCGAGCACTACTGGGACGACAAGAGTGCGGAGCAGCAGCAGCAGCACAACATGAAGATGCCCCTGGCGGAGGCTTTTGGATTCAGAGGGGTTTCGAGGTTTCCCTCGCTGGTGTGCCCTGAGCTGCTCGACTTAGTGTCGGATGAGGTGGAGCTGTTCCACGGCATCAAGATGAACGCGAGAAGACCCAGGGAGGAGCGGAAGGCCAGCGAGAGAGGCCGGGCCGCTCCTCCCGCTCAGTCATGATGCAGGGTGCGCCCCCGGGACTGCCTCGACCCGGGGGTGATGCAGAAGAGGTGGTGGGCGGAAGCGACGACCACATGCAGCGGTCGCTCCTGCCCCTGCCAGTCCCTGACTGGTGTCGCGCGCCGGCCGCTCCCGGCGGCAGCGGCGGTCGCGCAGCGCGGCGTCGCCGCGCCAACAGGACGCTGCAGGGGGAGCTCGTGACCGAGCTCGTTGTGGCGCTCAACCAGCTGGATGCCGGCTCTGATGACCCGCCTCGCTGTGCGGGCCAGGAGCCCAACAGGATGCAGCAGCTTTGCTTGGAGCATCTCGCCGACAGCTGCGCGGCGATGGGCTCCATTCCTCCAGACTTGTCGACCGAGGTGGCCCTTCAGGAGCTCCAGGTCGGCGCTGGCTACTCCGACGGCGAGCCCGTCTCGGTGGCCCCCTTCGCGCACGACCTCGTGTCTCTTCCAGCTGTGGGCGGCGCGCCTGTGCCCCTGAGCCAGCTGTTGGGAGCCGACGGTCCAGACATCGTGCGAGGGTTCATTACTTCGAAGGTATTGCCAATTCAAAGCGCCGAGATTTTTAAGAGGGAGGCTGGCTTCGCACGCCCTTACCTGGATCCAGTGCTGCGACAGCCCGCGGCCTACCTGGCCTTCGTCGAGAGGATGAGGGACGGTGGCATGCTGGAGTTCAGGGTCGATGAGGGCGATTTTGAGGAAGTCGGACTATTCACCGTTTGGAAGAAGGATGGTCGCCAACGCCTGGTGATCGATTGCCGGGGCAGCAACTTCAGGTTCGCGGAGCCCGACAAGACCAGCCTGGCCTCGGGGGGCAGCTTCAGCTCCATCGAGCTCGCGCCGGGCGAGGTGCTGTGGACGGCAGGGGTCGACATCGCGGACGCCTTCTACAACATGGGCCTGCCGCCGGAGCTCCGGCACCTCTTTGCGCCCCCTCGGCTTCGGGCAGCGCAGCTCGGGGTACGTGAGCTGGGCGGGCGCCCAGTGCCAGGCCGTGCTTGGGCACGCCCGTGCTTGGCTGTCCTGCCCATGGGTTGGACGCACGCGCTGGACTTTTGTCAGAAAGTGCACAGAAATATCCTAGTCCAGAAGGGAGGTTTCGATGGTGTTCCTGAATTGGTCGATGGCATGCCAGCACCTCACATCCAGGACGGGGCCTACACTGCATATGTTGACAAGTTCATTTCTTTTGGTGTGGATCCAGATAGGCCCGCGGCCCTCCTGAAGTCGGCCCAAGAGGCCTTGAGCAGCGCGGGACTCCCTCTTCACGAGCCTGATCTTCCCGCCTCTGTGTCGGAGCAGCTGGGTTGGGTCTTCGATGGAGAACGGGGAGCTGTGAGGCCCAAGAGCCGTCGTGCATGGAGGCTTCGTCTGGGGATCCAGGGTTTGCTGGCTCGCGGGCACGCCTCGGGACGACAAGTAGGGAAGATTGCTGGGCACTTCGCTTTCATTGCTATGTCGAGGCGCCCGCTCCTGGCCGTATTTAGTGCCGTGTATGCTTTCTCGAGGAAGTACTTCGATCGTGTGATGAAGCTGCCGCCGTCAGTCCGCCGTGAGCTTCGTTGGGCCGCCTCCCTGATCCCCCTCGCCTGGGCTGATCTCCAGGCTACCTGGTCTCCCAGGATCTACGCGAGCGACGCTAGCGAGGAGGGGAGGGGCGTGTGCCAGAAGGAGGCCGACCTGGGGGCCATTCGCGGTGCTGGGAGATACGGGGAGAGGTGGCGATTCCGACGAGGAACTACTTCTAGGCCTCGAGACTGCCTCTTCGAGCAGAGAGACCCGCCGTCCGCCGACACCGCGAAGGTCGAGCCGATCGCCGATTCCGTCGAGTCGCCGGAGGTGGAGCACGTCGTGTCGCCGGAGGAGGCGGTGGAGGATCCTGAGGATAACTTGTGGAACGTCCCAGAGGTGGAGGATACACTGTACGGGGGAAGGTGGCAGGTCGTTTCGAGCGGGGGATGGGCTCGGTCCGAGAAGATCATCGTCCTTGAGGGTCGGGCACTCGTTCACTCTCTGAGGCACGCACTTCGCGACTCGAAGTCCTTCGGTAAACGTATCCTCTTCCTTTGCGATAACATGGGGCTCGTGTGTGCTATGGAGAAGGGCCGCTCCTCAGCCGGGGGAGTCCTCCGCGTGGCCCGGCAATGGGGTGCCTGGTGCCTGGCGGGCGCGGCGCAGGCCTCGGTGCGCTGGATTCCGTCTGAGCGGAACGTCGCCGATGCTCCGTCGCGCCGCCACATCCCACTCGGGGTTTGGATCGACAACGGCGCGGCGGACTCAGCCGAGGGCATCGAGCAGCGGGCCATCCGAGACGCCGGGCGCAGCAGCCAGCAGGCGGATTGCCGCAGCGCCGGCCTCGAGCTGGCCGAGCTGGCCGTCCGCGAGCCTGCCATCGGCGGTCTTCGGGGTGCCCGCCGGCCCGCACGCCCAGCGGCGAGACGGGCCGCTGGCGGGGCGGCTCCAGCCGCGGAAAGGGCGGCGCCTGAGGGCAGACGCGGCCCGGCCGCGCCAGGTGCTGCGGGCGCTGCCCTTGCCCGCGGCCCGCAGTCGCAAGATGGCGCGAGCTGTGAGGCGCGCGCAGGCAGCGGCTGCGGGTGCTCGGCGGGCGGCGCTCGGAGGCCCTGGGTCGCTGCTGCAGCGGGCGTCGGTGGCGCGGATGACCGTGGTCCAGTACAACGGGCTGTGGCAGGACATCCTCCGCGTGTGGCTGCGGCGGCGTGCTGTGTGCTCGCTGCAGTCGACGCCCGGCGTCGGCGAGACGGCTTTCGTGGTCGCGAGCTGGATGGACCAGGAGGTCTCGTTCGGGGAGCTGGCGCGGAGCGGCACAAAGGAGCTCGCGGTGGTGAGCTACTACCAGAAGCAGTTCGCAAGGTCGGGAGGGCTCTCCCTTCCGCGCCCAGTGCAGGCCGTGATGGGCTGGAGGCGGCTCGCCCCGGGGCGGGCGCAGCTGCCGCTGCCCTGGGAGGCCGTCGCGCTGCGCGCGCTGGAGATGCTGCTGACCGGCTTCTGGGCGATGGCGGCCTGGGCAGTCGCCGCCGTCAACTGCTGCTTCCGCCCCAGCGAGCTGCAGCGGTTCGGCGCCGAGATGCTCGTTCCGCTCGTGCCAGGGACCCACGCGGCGGGCTGGGCGGTCGTGATGTACCCGAACGAGGAGGAGATCAGTGGCAGGACAGGGCAGTTCGACGAGAAGGACGAGCACGTGGGCAAGCAGCTGCCGCGGCGTCCCCTGGGCGTCCGCACGAGGGCAGTCGAGGCAGCGGCGCGGCTGCCGATCTGCCTCGCGAGGCTTTCGCTCGCGCTTTGGCCTGCCGCGGTGCCCGCCTGGTCCAGCCGCAGGTCTTCCTGGAGTTGTTCAGTGGGCATGGCGGGCTCTCGCGGTCGCTTCGCGAGAGGGGCTTCGTCGTGCTCGAGTGGGACATCGGCCGTGGGCCCGCGTGGGACCTGTCAGCACGAAAGGCTCAAAAGCTCGTGAGAGGCTGGATCCTGGCCGGACAGGTCTGGGGAGTCTTCATGGGTACGCCTTGCCAGACGTGGACGAGGGCCAGGGACGCGGGTCCGCTGCGAGAGCGGAATCATGCAGGACCAGTGCTCCCGTCTCGGCTCCGATCCGATCAGCATTTGATGGGGCTTCCTGCGGTCACCCATCCTGTCGATGTGGAGGCCATTCGAATTGGTAATAATCTCGCCCGGTTCAGTTGCAGTATTTTTGAGTTGATGCACTGGCTCCAGCGCCCAGTGGCGCTGGAGAACCCTGCGCGGTCACGTCTTTGGCTGCTGCCTCGTCTCAAAAAAGCTGCTGCCTGGAGTACTAGCCAGCTCGTGTATACAGACATGTGCCAATGGGGAACGCCATGGAAAAAGCCAACTCGATTTTTAGGAGATCGCGTCTCTCTGCAGCCCGTGGCCCGTGAGTGCCACGGCAAGCTTTGCTCTCGCACCAGAAGAAAGCACACATCAATTCATGGCCTCGCCGCAGGAGGCGGCTTCAAAACGAAAGCCGCCCAGCGGTATCCTCCTGCGTTGTGCGAGGCCCTCGCTCGCTGTTTCGATCACGCTCATGGCAACTGTAAGACGATGCCATTGTCCAGTCTTTTTGTTTAACGGTGAATGGTTCAGTTGTATATCGAGATGACCAAGGATTGTTTGGCAGGTTTGCGTCTTTTTGTACCCTCGTCTCAGTGACGTGCAGCTGGTCGTCTGGCTCGCCTCCGCCCGCTGCCAATCATCTGTGCCGGTGCACCTTCGCTGAAGCTTGCTCGGGCGTTCAGCGCCCCGATAAAAGGCGTCCTCTGGCCTCGGCAGCGGCGGCGGGAGGCATGCTCACTACTTCGTTGTTGATTGCCAGACGCCACAGCAAGAGAGGCCGCATTTCAGGGCCATGGGTTAGTGCACGCTCCTTTGCCATTCCATGGCCATTTGAGGTCTCATTGTTTGCGCTCCCAGCCCTCCCTCCCTCGCGCGTCTTTTTGTACCCTCGTCTCAGTGACGTGCAGCTGGTCGTCTGGCTCGCCTCCGCCCGCTGCCAATCATCTGTGCCGGTGCACCTTCGCTGAAGCTTGCTCGGGCGTTCAGCGCCCCGATAAAAGGCGTCCTCTGGCCTCGGCAGCGGCGGCGGGAGGCATCCTCATCCTCCTCCGCCTCCTCCTCCTCTTGGGGCCTCCTTCTCTTGGGGCCTCCTGCATCCTCTTGGGGCTTCCTGTTGCCTCCTGGATCCTCCTGGGGCCTCGGGTACTCCTGGGGCCTTCTGGGGCCTCCTGCTGCCTCCTGGGGCGTACTGGTGGCTCCGGGGCCTCCCTAGTTTTCATTGTGCCTTCTGGGGCCACCTGAATCTACTTGTGGCTTCCCGAAGTCTCCTGGGACTTCCAGTGGCCTTCTCAGGCAATCCGAGGGCTCTGGCTCGAGAGTTCTTGGCAATGCACTCACAGACAAGGCCTCCGCTTGAGACAGCCTGACACTTTGCTCAGGAGCGAGGCTCCCGCCCGAGTCCTCGTCGAGATTCTAGCTTTCATGTGTCACTGAACTTGTGTTTTGACAGGGTGCGCCGGTGGCCGCTTCAGATCTATCATGGAGCGAGGACCTCATGCCAGGGGGTCCATGTGAGACTTCCCCGCAAGTAACTCACAGGCGAGAGCTCTGGACATCCTCACAAGAAGCCCTGGAACGAGGCTCCTGCTGTAGATGTCTTTGAGATCCACGCTCCCAGGTGTCACCCAACCTCTGTTTGAATGTATTCCGATGGCCGCCTCGGATTCGTAACGCGAAGTGCGGACCTCATGGGTAAGAGGCTCGCTTCCGCTCGAGACTTCATCGCACTGCCTCACGGACGAGGCTCCCGCTCGAGACTCTCTCAAGATAGTTTGATGTATGTGTGCATGCGTGTGTACATGTTGGCGTGGGGATGGGAGTGTGTGAGTGAGTGCGTGAATGTGTGAGTGAGGGCGCGATTCTCATGACCTTTGAGATTATGTCAGACCTGCGGGGCCCGTGCTTGGATGCCTCGGATGCAGGTGATGCCACTCTGCCAAGGGCACCAGAGATGCCAATGACGCCAGGACGCCAATTTGCCAGGATGCGAAGATGCCAGGATGCGAGCGCAAAATCAATCCCAGGAGTGGAGTTATGGGAGCATGAAGAGCCCGAAGTGGCTTACAGTTGGCCTCGGACATGCCAAATCAGTCCTACAAGCCTCGTCAAAAATAAACAGAAACGAAGTTGGAAATCACGACGGTCGATCTTCTCGGGCACTTGTTAGAAACTGCGTTCTCCAATGCTGCGGCGGGGTTGTCGGATTTTTGAAGCCCTTGCGCCCACGTCAGATATCTAGCGTCAGCATTGGAGTAGCGCTGCCCATACAATCACCGAAAACAGAATCCCTCAGTTTATTTTTGACGAGGGTTGTAGGAGTTGAGTTCTGGGAGCACCAGCAGCCCGAAGTGGCCCATGATTGGTTCTGGACATTCAAAATCAGCCCCAGGAGTAGAGTTCTGGGAGCACGAGGAAGCCCGAATGGCTGACAGTTGGCTCCAGACATGCAGCATGAGGCCTGCAAGTGAAGTTCAGGGAATTCGAACAGCACGAAGTGGTATACAGTTGGTTCGGGACATTCGAAGTCAGTGTTGGGAGTGGACTTCTGGATTCGAAGATCGCAAAACCAGAGGTGTTGCTGCACAAGAAACTTTCCGGATGGCCAACTCGGATTATTAATCTGATGTGCAAGCCCTATCGGAGGGGGTTTAGCTTGAGACCTTCTCGCAACTGACGCACAGACGAGGCTTCCGTCCGAAACTTCCTCAAAATGAGTGTCGAAATGGCCTTCGGCCCATCCCGCCACCGTGCCTGCATTGCGGTTCATAGTTATCAGGGATGCTTCTTCGGGTCTCTTCGAAGCGCTCTCGGGGGGCCTCTTGGGAGCAGTTTGGGAGTCTCTTGGCAGCTTCTGGTGGGGCGTCTTGGGGGCCACTTGGGAGCAGTTTGGGGTTTGGGGGCCTCTTGCGTGCCTCCTGGGGGCTCCTTCGGGGCCGAGGGCTCGAAACGCCTTCTCGGGTTCCCCATCTGGGCCCCCTCTAGGGGCAGTCTTTGAGGCCGTCTTGGGCTTCTCTTGGGCCGTCTTGGGCCACCCCCCTTGTGGGCGTCTTGGGCCGTCTTGGGGCAGTCTTGGCGGCCTCTTGGGCCGTCTTGAAGCGCCGGGAAGACGCGAACGCTGAAATCCTTCAAAAGTTTTAGCAACATCAAAGAATTGTGCCTCTTGGAGCCGGCTTTCGAGGCCACTTGGAGGCCTTTCGGAGTGTTTGGGAGGTCTTTGCGAGCGTCCTGGGGCCGTGTTGGGCGTCTTGGGGCGATCTTTCCAGCGACGCGGAGCACTCTGGGACCATCTTCGGGGCCCCTCGGAGCTCTCTTGGCCCGTCTTCGAGCCCTCTTGGGCCCCAACAAGTCATGCGACAAGCCGCGGGAAGCCGCGACAAGCCCCAGGAGATTTGTGAATCTGATGTCCAGGCCCATACGAGACTGCGCAGGAAAGATGATTGAGGCTTAGTGGGTGAGGAAAAGGACCTGAGGGCACGACCACTCCGTGGCCAGAGGTATTGTGGCGGATGAGTGCGTGAGTGCGTGAATGCGTAAGTTTGTGAGTGCGCGTTGCTGTTGGTGATGCTGGTGGCGATGATGATAACATCGTGGGCGTGTCTTTGCGTGAATGATCGTCATGATGATGGTGGTGGTGATTGTGAGTGGTGGTGGTGATCATCGTGATGGTGATGGTTAAGGATGGTGGTGATGATGAGTGGTGTTGGTGATGATGGTGATCTAGAAGAAGCAGCTGATGATGATGCTGATGCTGGTGCTGATGACGATGATGATGATGGTGATGATGATGATGATGATGATGATGATGATGATGATGATGATGATGATGATAATGATAATGATAATGATGATGATGATGATGATGATGATGATGATGATGATGATGATGATGATGATGATGATGATGATGGTGATGGTGATGGTGATGGTGATGGTGATGGTGATGGTGATGACGATGATGGTGATGTGGGTGGAAGGAGAGGAATGGTGTGTGGTCTGCTCAGGGTTGTCCGAAGAAAACAAGAGCACCACTTTGGACGCGGGAGCGCAGAAAAAATTGACGTTGCCTTGTTCCCCAGCGGGATGGGATCTGGCTTCGCGGGTCCAAACAATCGTGCTCCCGCCAGGACTTCGGAGCGGACCCTCAGCCGTGGCAATGAGGAGCCTCCTGGAAGCCCGACACGGGGCCGCATCCGCTGGCTGAAAGCAGCGGAAGGTTGGCGCAAGGCGGCGGCAGTAAAAAGTTGCCCTCCAAGAGGTGACCACACTTTTGGATTCAGGGTTTCCGGAATCCGCCATTTGGATCCGCCGAGATCCTCATCCGGAAAGGTGAAAGCCAGTCGTTTGGCGCTCCGATTTGTCCGATGGACCCCTGGACCCCTCGTCCGTTTCCCCAGGGCAAGCTCTTCATCCCGAGCCGTCCTTGTGCGGCCCCAAGACCCGAGCCTGGTCAGCCGCAGACTCTTTGACCATGTCAGGGAGTTTGCCGCTCTGATTCTTCAGCGCAATGGATGCAGGGGGGGACAGCTGGCACCAGGACTAAGCATGGCTCTTATGCTCTGCGTGTTTGGGGCCCTCCACCTTGAATGTTCTCCGTCGCGGGTATCTCCCTGCGGCATCGGGCCACCGGCCACCCTGACATCCGCCGATTTCTTATTCGATCCATGGCCCCAGAAATCCCCACCTGTCTCCTGGTTTATGATTTCGTCCCAGATGCGTTTTTGATGATCCTGGGGCACGACAATGTCCCCCGCGGGAGTCGAAATCGATGCAAACACCACACCGTTGTTGAAACAACTATATTGCCAGAGATCTGGGCACGTTGTTGTGGCCCTCTGGAAGGTAGAAGAAGAGGAGGAGGAGGAGGAGGAGGAGGAGGTGGGGGGAAGGATGAACATCGAGGAAGGATGGTGGAGGGTGGAGGAGGGAGGGACGGGGAAGACAAGCTAGGTGCGCTCGCGTCATATCTGACGTCCTACCCCGCCCTCCCATCCCTTACCATGGCGTAGATATCCTCTCTATTCGCACAGTCCGATGTCGAGCAGGTCAATGATTGCGAGAGGGTACGCGGTGCATGGTAGAGCACGGCATGGCATGGCTTCGAAGATCACGGCAGAGCGTAGCATGGCATAGCATGGCGTGGCATTGCGCAGTGAAACATTGCAACGCAAAGCATGGCATCGCACAGCGGCGCAAAACACAACACCGCACAGCATATTATGGCATGGCGCCAGGTTCCTTGGAGGGTAAGTGGATCGTCTTAGAGAGGTCTTGGCCGGTCTGGATTCGTGGCTCCATGTCTATCTCCTTGGGCTCTTCGAAAAGCTCCACACAAGGCGTGGCTGATGGAGAGCACCCGCTGGCTCTGCTTTCAACATCTTCTCGCAAACGGAGCTCCCGCTTGATGCTTCCTGAAAGCGACGACGACGACTTCTGGGCTTCTGCGGCCCACAAGTCAACGAGTCGACACCGAATGTGTAATCACTTCTTTTTTTCGGGGAACCATTTTCTATATTTAGGGGCCTATTTCGAAGGAAGGCCAGCGCTGCAGCGCGAGCACGATTCGGAACGAGCGAAAGCGCGGAAATGAGGCCAGCGCTGCAGCGGGAGCACGATTCGGAACGAGCGGAAGCCCGAAAATGAGGCCAGCGCTTCAGCGGGAGCAACGTTCTGAACAACAGACCAAGCGAAAGCCCAACTCCCGGGAATCCTGTGTTAAAACATTGTACACGGAGAGGGGTCGAACATCTTCCGGACGTCATCAGGGGAGAGAGGAGAGTAATTAGCATTCATATTGTGTAATTGTAGTGGATGAGGATGAGGAGGGCCAGGAGGAGTCGAGGAGGAAGAGGAGTAGGAGGAGGAGGAGGAGGAGGAGGAGGAGGAGGAGGAGGAGGAGGAGGAGGGGGAGGAGGAGGAGGAGGAGGAGGAGGAGGAGGAGGAGGAGGAGGAGGAGGAGGAGGAGGAGGAGGAGCGAGAGAAGGAGGAGGAGGAGGAGGAGGAGAAGCGGAGGAGGAGGTGGAGGAGGAGGAGGAGGTGCAGGTGCAGGAGGAGGAGGAAAATTTCCTGTCCCTCCTCCTCCTCCTCCTTCTCCCCGCCTCCAGGAGACGGTCGACCCCTCGCCGCGCCGCGGCCTTTGCCGCCCTAGCCGCCGCTCTCCCCGGGCTCGCCGGCCTGCTCCCCGGGAGGCCGGCGCTCGCCCGCTGCAGCCAGCGCACAGACGCAGATCTCTGGCCATAGGAGTCCCAGGAGAGAGAAACTCGGCGGCGACGATAGGGGCGAATAGCCCAGGGGCGGGCCTTATGTACACGCATTCGCCCGGGAGCCTTGTCGAAGACATAGATCATCGGCACCCCTGGATACATGTATTGATCCCCCCTGGGCTATTCGCCCATATCGCCGCCTCCGAGAAACGCCCACACACAGGCAGGCACAAGTGAACGTCGATCTCCAGGAAGATCTGGGAAGCGGAGGGGAAGAAGAACGACGAGAAGGTATCAGAAGTATGGGGGGTCCTGGGGTTTGTGTAGATTTGTGTAGATTTGTTTGTGTGTCCCTAGGCCCCGTTAGTATCGTCGAAGTGATCCCCAAGCCCCATCCCGATCATCCCACCGCCCTGGTTGGTGATACGCCCCTCGAAACCCGAAGGGAACAGCCTATGTCTCCATCTGAGGGGGCAAAACGAAAACGGACAGTTAAGGCCCAGGCCATGCCGGTGTGGATAGAGATTGGAGCTCCGAGCGGATTTCTTGGATCTTCGCTGAGCCCCCGTGTCGGCGCCTCCGACGTTGCCCCTGGCGCGCTCCGCGCGCCAGGTAGGGGGTCCAGCGCAGAACCAATAATTCCACGAAAGGTTATGTTTAATGCAGTTCTTCTCTAATGAGTTTTCCACTGGTGGGTTTCTCCATTTCGGCCTCCAGGGGCCGTGTTCGCCCTGACTCTGGATCCGCCGCAATCTTGGGCGACTTTGTAAGCAGTGCTCAAGCTTCAACCCTACTTGTCAAGTTCCTTTGGGGTCGACGTCCACTCTTCTTTGGCGCCGCTGTTTTCCCGCCATGCTGTGCATCTCGCAGCGCTTATTGGGCTCGTGCGTGTTGCGCAGGGGACACAACATTTGTCCACACATGCCAGCGCCAGCAGGTGCGTCATGCAAGCTTTTGTTGTCTCGGCATATCTGCTATCTGAGGCGCATCCCCAATGGTGTCCTCCGCCTCCTTGGAGTCGAAATTGTGTGGCTATGTCCGTGCCCTGGCTCTGCGGCTTCCTCCCTCCTCTTCCTCCCTCTCCTCCCCTCCTTTTCTCTTCTCCTCCCTTCCCCACCCCCCTTCCGACGCGAGACAGGTACGTGCAAGACGACATGGCTGGCACGCGCAGCCTTGTGAAGTCCCCGAGACTGCACCGGTGCCATCCGGCCGGCGGCCCTGGGCGACAGCTCGGCAACGTCAGCGGTGAAGACGACGAGCAGGGACATGTACGTCACAGTGGAGACTGTTTTTGTTTCTAGGGTCGGGCCTTGGCATCGTTCGGACGTGTGCATTCTTCCTTCGGCGAGGACCATCGAGGAGCATCCTTGATTATTTGGCGAAAAAACCAAGCACGAAATCAAAAAAAAAAAAAAAAAAAACAGGGAGTGGACGTCCGAGCGATGGCCAGGGGCGATAACCCGGGTTATCGGGCTTGCCCCCGGACAACCTCACCTTGCCCGTCGTGCAGGTCCGCGGGAGGGGGGGCGCGGGCACATGCAGGGCTGCCCACATTGCGAGGGTTAGGTTATCGGCCGGCTCCCTCCTCCCCCCCCCTCCGGGATAACCCAGGTCATCGCCGATTCAAGAAAAAGCGGTCTCATGTTTTGCGGAAAGCCCGCCCCACCAGTCCGAGGCGTATATCCGCCCTGCCCTTTCGCAACGTTTTGGGGTGCATGTTTGGTACATTCCCGAGCCAGAAGATCAACCGAACCACAAGGGATCATCAGTCAGGGCTGGTCCCAGGACCGTCACAACGGACCCAGGGCGAAAAGATACCCTCGGGGACGGGGTCGGGACTTCCAGGGCCGCGGATCGGAAAGAGGAATTTGAACGCAGGGTGGAGCCAGTTGCTCACGATTTTTTCCGTCCACATTTTTCACCCAGAAGGTGACGAAGGTTTTTTGCGTTTCGTGTGCCTCGCTGTGTTTTCGTTTGTCTATTTTGCCTCTGTCAGTCTCCTCTGTGTGTTTGTGATGTGGTGAGATTGTCATGACATGTCGCTGCGTTGCGTTATGCAATGCAGCGCTATGTTATGCAGCATTTTTTCACGATGGAAGTCCTACGATACCCCACGAGTTGCGATCCACTTGCATGTTGCGATGTGCGATTATGCTATGATAAACCATGCTACATTCCCTCCGTTCTCTTCACCCGCCGTCATCAGTCCTCTTCCGTCCGCGTTCCCTTCCCCACCCCCTCCTCCGTACTCCTTTCTCCGTGGCGGTCCTCCCCGCTGACCCCTGTTCCGTCCTCATTATGCATTCGTTTCTTTCTCGTACCCTCCGTCGGTCCGTTCTCTTCATCGCCAGTTTCCTCCTCTTCATGACCTTTCTCATCTTCTTCATTTGCCTCATTCATCCCCCTCACTCGCCCCCCTCTCGTCGTCCACGTTATCCTCTTCGTCATCCTCCTCATAACGGTTTTTCCTCCTCACTCCATTGTTCGTTTGCCAGAGTGTTGGTTCCAGGCGTGGCCTCACCTGAGGGCCTTCGGTGGAGCTCCCTTATGGGTACACGACGTGCGTAAGGGGTGTACCGAAGTTATGCAACAGTTGTTGTGCGGAGGGCAGAGGCATAGGAGGAAGAGGAGGGTCGGAGGAGAAGAGGAGCAGAGGAGGAGAACGCGGGACTCGGGGTACTGTCTCTTCAACATGAGAACCCAAGTCCAGAGGATTGTTGGGAACAAGTTACATTCAGCCTGGCGAAGGGCTCAACCATATGCAGTTGCGAGTGCCGCGAGGGGTGTGCAGAAATGGCCCGAGGCCGCCATGCGGACCCTGCCACTGGAGCCATTCGGTGGAGATCCCTTATAGGGCCGCGCAGCGCATGGGGAATGTGCCGGGATGGTCCGCGGCCGCCATGCGGGCCCTGCCGTTGAGAGCCTCCGGCGGAGCTCCTTGTAGGGCCGCGAAGCGTGAAAGGAGTGTCCCGAAATGGCCCGAAGCGTGTGAAGGGGTGTGCAGAAATGGCCCCAGGCCGCCATGCGGACCCTGCCATTGGAGCCTTCGGTGGAGCTCCATGTGGGGCCGCGAAGCGTGTGAGGGGTGTGCAGAAATCGCCCCAGTCCATGCGGACCCTGCCATTGGAGCCTTAGGTGGAGCTCCATGTGGGGCCGCGAAGCGTGCGAGGGGTGTGCAGAAATGGCCCAGGGCCGCCATGCGGACCCTCCCGCTGGAGCCTTAGGTGGAGCTCCATGTGGGGCCGAAAAGCGTGTAAGGGGTTCCGAAATTACACGAGACCGCCGTGCGGACCCTCCCGCTGGAGCCTTAGGTGGAGCTCCATGTGGGGCCGAAAAGCGTGTAAGGGGTTCCGAAATTGCACGAGACCGCCGTGCGGACCCTCCCGCTGGGGCTTTCGGTGGAGCTCCATGTGGGGCCGAAAAGCGTGTGATGGGGTGTGCCGAAAGGGCCCGAGGCCGACGCATGATGGAGATGAGGAGGACGTTGATGATGACGATGGTGATGCTAGGGATGATGACGATGACGCCGCGATGGGAGGAGGAGGAGGAGGAGGAGGAGGAGGAGGAGGAGGGACAAGATGGCAGCGTGAGGGAGTGACGTGGGGCGCTGTCTTTTCACAACGAGGACCCGAGACCACAGGAAGGTTAGGAATTTCCCTGGCGACGGACCCAAACATATGTAGTTGTGAGTGCCGCGTTGTGGGTACCGTTTTCGGTGGAGCTCCCCATGGGGCCACGAAGCGCTGTATCGGGTGTCCTGTAATGGGCGGGGGAGACGCATTCGGCCGAGGCAACGGGGGTCTTCCGTGGAACGGCCTGTGTGGACACGGAACGCTGCCGCGACCATTGAGACTTTCGGTGGAGGGCAGCGAAACGCTGTATCAAATGGGGGAGACTCGTGCGGCCGTGGAGCTCCCAGGAAACGTTAGATTGGGCAGTGGAGGAGCATGCGGCCGTTGCCGCGGCCACCAAACGTTGTATTGGGCCGGGGAGACGCATGCGGCCGCGGTCACTCGGGCCTTCTGTGGAGCTCCCATAAGGGGGGGGGGGTGCACGAAACGCTGTACGGAGTGGGGTTCCCAAGGGCGGGGACCGCCACGGGGGTATGGCACGTGCCCGTTCGCGCCCAGACTGTGGGATGTCTCAGGCGATGTGCTTGTTTTGGTGGCCAACATCCTCTGTTTTCGGAGCAGCTTTTGAGGATGTCTCAGGCGAGGCGCTGGTTTCAGCACCCCAAGGGGGAGTGGGGTGGGGGCGCCAGTGGGCATATCACGAGCCTGGTTGCGCTTGGTTTGGTGGCCAGGCTCGTTTGCTGTCAGGGCAGTCTGTGAGGATGTCTCTCACCACGCGGTGCTCCCCTCGTTGATCCAGCATGCGCACAGAGCACGAATCCACATCAGAGAACACCATGCGGGCCACACGCGCGAACGCCGCCACGCGCACGTGTCGAAATTACTCCACGACCATGGGTGTTCGACACATTTCTGGATAGAGTTTTCCAGACACACATGAAATAGCAAACTTTGTTTTGTTTTGGTGAGCACAAGATATGCCTGGCTTCTTGCACTTCCGCGCGCATGCATATCCTCACCGTCGCCTTCAGCAGCGCCACTCCATCACTGCCAGCATCATCATTGTCAATCGCCGCCATTGCCGCCATCACCAGTCACTCACTTTTACCATTGGCGCATGGACGTCATTATCGTCATCGTCGTCATCAGCATCGGCACCATCATTGGCCTTGCCGTCGTCATCGTCATCATCGCCACCACCAGCGCTACTATTATCATCAGTGCAGTCGTTGTCGAGGTCATCATGATACTGCGCCTGCCGAGGCACCGACCCACACTGAAGTGCCCGCGCGCCAGCGCGGCCATTGAGACGCGTTGGCCAGATCCCACTGGTAAACGCCATCGCGGCCGCATCAGCCATGCCAAGCCAGCTGGTCGCTCTGCGAGCGAGCTTGCGCACGCAAGCGCAGCCGC